CTTCATGAGAAAATTTTATAAATGAAGATAGCATAAAAAGCCCAAGCAAAGCCTTCAACTCAACTATATCTGTGCTTTTGTAGTTTGATGTTTTAGTCCAATCAGATAACTTTTCTCTCATTATAATAATTTTTTGGTTGGTCCATGTTACAATTTGTTCCAACATTTCATTAGTAATCAACAACTTCCAAATATCTGATGTAACTGTTTAACTGATTCCCAGAGATATTCTCACAGCCATTTTCTGCAACTTTACACTATCGAACGCTTTCGAGTAGATTAGATTAAACTAGATTAAATTCTCTAGATTTTTGTATAATTTGTCTGAGATTAAGAATTTGTACTCGTGTACCTTTTCCAAGGACAAATTCAAATTGGTCTCGTGGGATGTTGTTGGTGAGCCTTTCTTATGGCACAAACAATAAAACACAAATAAAATATATTAAAATTTAAACAGCCTTTTTCATTTCCAAAAGAAAAGGAAACATCCACCCCTTGGGCCAGAGACTTTCTGATTGGATTATATTGCTCTCTGGGTGTAATCAACTAAATAACACTCTTGGTGCATAAATAACTATTAATTCTGTTTTGACAGTTGCCAACCTCTTAACTAAAGTCAGTGTATTCTTTAATTCACGATTTTCCCAAAAAAATGTGGTTCGATAATACAAACTAGAAATGATAATTAGAATAAATATACCTTAGAAGAGTTTTCAGAAAGAAAGAACTGCTTTGAACGACAGACAAGAAAACTAACTTGTTCGGTAAGGTCATTTAAACAAAATTGGTGAAGACCGAATACTAAAACGAATAATGAACTGGAAACCCATAGAAATAAGGAAAAGAGGGAGAACCAAGAAACCTGACTAAAAAGGATAATAAATTAAAGCCGAAGATAACTGGAGGAGTTCTACCGATGAACGACAATCTGTTAACAATTGAAATAATTTCGACAGAAATTTATAACTGTTGGAGTATAGGATCAAAATAATTTATGTATTATCACAGGTTTAAGGTTATTTCGTACCACTAATTACTGTTATTAGCGAGGACCCAAAACTTGAAATAATAAACATAATGTAGTTGCTAAAAATAATATCAACAACTTAAAAAATATGAAATAAATTAATCATCTCAACGAACATCAAAATATAAGGCAAGCTGGTATTAAAAACACGATATTTTCTATTTTTATAATTGAATTGGTGTTACTAACAGATAACTACACATTGTTTTAATTTTTTTAGATAATTTTAAAACAAATTTTTAAATCATTATGAATAACTTAACTTAAACGAATAATAAATTAGATTTATTAACATTATTAATAAGGAAATACTAAATAAATATGTACGTTGATAAACACCTTTTTTAATAAACAGACATTTCGGTCGACAGGTTAATATTATATAATATAAACTAATGAATTATTTAAAAGTTGTTGTTTAGATATAAAATGATTTTTACTGCTACAGTGTTTTGCACGATCACATATTATTTAATTTAGTAAATTAAATTAAATAAATAAGATATTTATAAAAATAGATACACGCGTAAGGGGTAACAGCAACAATACAGAAAAAAACACTTTTGATAAAAGATAACAAAGGGATCTGATTTCTGATACGGACAAGATGCTTGCTAGTAGAAAGTGTATTTTGAGGAATTATTACAAGAAGAATACATAATGACTGATTAAGAGGAAATAAAAACAAAACAAAAACATTTAAAAGCTGTCTCTCCTCCATAACGAAAAAAAAAACAAGAACAGAAATTACAAAACTAAAAAACGACGGAAGTCCTAGAGATAATGGAATAAATGCTGAACTTATAAAATATGAAGGGAAAAAGATTGGCAGAATTTCAGAAACTAGTAAACCTAATAAGGGGGACAGAAGAAACTCCTTTATAATGGACCAATGCAATGCTGATACCAATATCCAAAAAAGGAAACAAAGAATAGTGCAAACTATAGGAAATTAGCATTATTAGATACTGTATACAAAATTAACGAAAGCTTTACAAATTAAACATGAACAATTGTCACAACAAACAATAGGAGACATCAATGCAGATTTAGAAAAGGGAATTCAGTTACTAACCAAATCTTTATTCTATGGGAGAGCGCCCACCAAACTGGCGCGCTATGTAACCTGGCAGTGATATAGCACGGGCATGGAACAGGCGTGGCAGGTAGCGCACACTAAAGTAATGATATTTAAAAAAAAAATTTAAATTCACAATTTTGTCCTCTGATGATGAAGTTATGCTTAGGCTTTATGAACAAAACTTGTCTGAGACAAGTTTCAAGGGCATAGTTCATTTAATGTGTCTAAACAATTAAATATGTATCTGCTGAAATTTGGACAATACTCCAGCCAAAATATCTGAGCAAACCATTAAGGGAATTATAGATTAATACAGCAAGTAGATACTGGGAACTTTGGAATTTGAATAATTGCTGTGGCTTTATTGATGGAAAGCATATCAGGATTAAAGACCCCCGATTTCTGAGTAAGCATACTTTAAGTACAAAGGATATTTTTTTATTGTGCTGTTATCTGTGGCTGACACAGAGGGCTATTGTTGTCGGTTGATATTAAGGAATATGGAGGAAGAAAATGCATAAAAAGTGCATTTGGAAAAGCAGCAGTTAGCTACCAACTTGACCTTCCCGAACCTACACGGTTGCCAGGAGGAAATGATGATGCATCGTGTCTTTTATATCGTGTTAGGAAACCATATCCCAGAAGATAAGTAACAAATGACAAACGAATATTTAATTACAGACTTTCTAAAGGGCGAAAATGTATTGAGTAAGCATTTGGTTTGCTAACTTCAATGTTCAGAGTATTGGAGACGCCAATGTGTTGCAATATTGACAAGATTGATGGCATCATTCAAGCTATTTGTATGATACACAATTTTATCCGTGTTTATGATGGAGTTTTAGCTAATCCCACATTTCAATTTAAAGAACAAATTATAGACAAGAATAATCCAATACAACCAGGTATGTATCGCAGGCCAACAAATGGTGCATTAGAAAAAAGAAATAGACTATGTAATTTTTTATTCAGCCTACTGGTGCCTTGCTTTGGCAGAATGGCCACAGTGTTTTATAGCTTTGTGCATACATATGCCTAAATAGGTAAATAAAAATAAGGTATTCTAGTAAAAAGCTGTTTTTAGCTTGGTGTTTTAATCTGTTGCTCTCATCTGTTGCCTTATTCGTTTTTTTCCTAATAAATATCATAACAAATAGTTTTATTATTGTAAACATTATGGTTTTACAATACAAGCTAACAACATTGTTTTATAATGAAAGATTTTTATACAACTTCTTTTTCATTACGAAAATTTCAGATAAATGAGCTATTAAAAAATATATTGGTTCAATTTTAGGTTAAACGGATTAGATTAACACCGGATTGTGAGGTATAACTCTGGTTTAGACAAAACTCTATAAGTCTGGTCGTGTTGAAAATATCTAGATAAAAATTGGACATAAAAATAAAAACATGTTATGTTTTTGTGAAACTTACACTAAATATTACAGATCGACTAATCAAAAAAGTTTGATGAATAACTATGAATGACTGATTTGTATTGTCACAGATACCTAGAAATGTCTCAATTAATGAGACAAAACAAGTAATAAAGACTGTTTTCTCCTTATTTATATTTTTTAACAAACACATATACAAAATGCAAGTATGTGGCACGTTGCAAAAAGTAGAACAAGCTCTCTTTTTAAAGACGTGACGTAGCAAGCTGCATGACGCCACTGTCACTGTCATATTGGTGTGCGCTGAATAATTATTTTGCATTGGTTACATTTCAAGTAACATGCTAGACGCGCGTTACTTGTTACTTGCCACTTGCCACGCCAGTTTGGTGAGCGCTCTCACTTATGCAACCAGAGGGATGTGTTCGAACATAATAACTATACACGTTCTCTTCATAGATTCCTGATTTCCTAATCTGGGTTATTATAGATTACGCCATGTTGTTACTTTTTGGAACACGTTGTCTAAATTTTATTTAATTGAATGGTATCAAAAGTAGCAATAAAATATGAATTAATTAATATATTCGACCGTTACTTGATGGAAATTCATTTTATGTAACAATAAAACACTGAAAACTTTTGTTTTCCAAACTTCCACCAAATTTATTTAAACTATTATCACTACAGCTATTTCGGCTGATTGCCTTTCTCAAGTGATCTATTTTTGGCATGAGTTTAAAATTTATAGCCTCTAATGAAATAGGTTGACGAGAAGAGAACTGTTTATCTCAAGTTGGTCATTCAGAATTATATCTGCGTTTTTTAATTTGTTGATTTCCATAGATTCTAACAAAGATAGCTTAAGGCCTTTATTTTGAATGTGAAGTATTTTAAATTTGTCATTAAAAGAATGATTATGATCTAGAGGGTAAAGTGCGTATGTTGAATCTGTTTTTCTATTATTGAAAGTCCTTTTATGTTCTGCTATTCGTTTATTAAAGTTTCTACCAGTTTGACCGATGTAAGTATTTTTTGCAGTCGCCACATTGAAGTTTGTACACACCACTATTTATTTGTTTTTTATTTTGGCTCTTGTTATTTTTAATATATTTGCCTAGGTTGTTATTTGTCCGGAAGTTATCTTTGTTAGAATCTATGGAAATCAACAAATTAAAAAACACAGATATAATTCTGAATGACCAACTTGAGATAAACAGTTCTACCCTCCTCAACCTATTTCATTAGAGACTATAAATTGTAAACTTATGCCAAAAATAGATCACTTGAGAAATTCAATCAGCCGAAACAGATGTAGTGATAATAAATAAAATAAATTTTGTGGAAGTTTAAAAACAAAGTTTTCAGTGTTTTATTGTTACAAATATGAATTAGATCATTGACGAAACTACTAACAATGATTAAAAAATTTTAATTTTAAACTATCTGTACCATATTTTATTTTTTAATTTTTTTCTATTTTTTATTTCAGGTGCCATCGCTGCTGGTAACTGTGTTATTATTAAACCTTCAGAAGTAGCACAAGCTACTGCAAATCTCATTGCTAAATATTTGCCAAAGTATATTGATACCAGTTGCTATCCTATTTACACAGGCGGTCCAAAAGAAACAAGTGAATTGCTGGAACAGAGATTCGACTACATATTTTACACAGGATCGACAGAGGTATGTATTTATTATCATTAGGAAAAAAATTTTGTGTCTAAAATATAAATAAATAATATATTTATAATAACCTGTACAATAAATGTAAAAAATTAAAAGCGAATAGATTTCATTTAAAAAAGATTTTAGCAAAAATTCTCTCAAAAAAAGTAATCTGGTTATATATGAAGTTACCTTCATAATTTTAAGCTCTACACACTTCCGTGCCATGCCCGGAAACTTATTATGCAAGCGACATGGAATTTAGAGAAGGATAAAAAACAATAAAGTTAAAAAGTCAGGATTCAGCCATCTTCTGCTAACAGTATCCTCTAAGAACTCCTGCTTAATTTTACAGGCGAAGTATGGTGATTAATTTTAAAGGCAGAAAGTCACAGACTGACTAACATAGCTAAGAGAGCAGATATACCAGCACTGGAAGAAACTGGCTTTTTTATATCTGCAATAAAACCAGTATAAGGAAAGAACATCTAGACAGACAAAAAATCATTCGGCCCATCTACGTTAGGTTAAGTCAATGGATCTCCACGTTATGACTTAAAAAACACAATAATTGCTAAATTTCTCGAAAAAAAGCCATTGAATGTTTATTTTCGAAAAGACGAAGACAGGCTACGAAAAGAACTATGAGATTTGGAATGTGAAAACATTTACATGTTTCGAGCCAGAGGCCCTCGTGTTTGTAAGATAGTCGCACTCGGGCATAAAGATTGTACCTAATGCCCTTAGTATATAAATAACTATTCTTCTACTTCAAAGTATTTAGTTCTTATACTGCAACTCCTAAAATATAGTATACAAATAATTTTTCGTCCATCATACATCAGTGGCTCGACAAACCCTTTTTGGGGTCATTGGCCTGTTCCTTGGATTCTTCTCCATTGTGATCTGTTTTGTGCTTTTTTCCTCCAGTTTTTTATTTTAAGGTTTTTTATATCATTTTTATTTGATATAAGTATCTCAGCTTCGGTCTTTCCTCTTGTTCTGTCTTCCTATGTGGAATCTGTTTGAATATATTTTATTTGGTAAATTCCCGGTCTTCCATTCTTTTTACATGTCCTGTCCAACGCAGCCGTCCTATTTTAATGAATGTAATAATATCCGGATTCCCGGTATATTTTGTATAGTTCAAAGTTATTATCTTTTTCGCCATATTTCCGTTTTCTTTTGTTGCCCTTATATATGTTGTACCGCAAGATTTTTCTTTCGAAGGTGGCTAACAACGTTTCCACTCTTTTAGTGAGTGTCCAGTGTTCTGAACCGTATGTGAGTACGGGTCTATATTAAGGTTTTATATGTTTTGGCATTCTTGTTTTTCTTGCGACGGTATCTGATCTTTGTTGCCTAATTAAGCCATGGTAACACTTATTGGCAATACATATTTGCATCTTCATTTCCTCCGCAAGGTTATTATCAGACGTGACTAGGGATCGCAAGTATATAAAGCTTTTTTACCCTCTCAATGTTGTATTCTCCTATTTTCTATATTCTTCTTCTTCAAGTTCAACTCTTATCGGAGATTGGAAATCATTCTGGAAATTATAATTTTATTGGTTACTCGCCTGAATTAGTTCAATTGAACTGCATCCAAACCACTCACGGAGATTGCGTAGCCACGAGATTTTACGTCTTCCTACGCTTCTTCTACCTTTGATTTTACCCTGCATTTATTCCTTAGTAGTTCGTACTTTTCACCTCTCATGATGTGCCCCAAGTATTCCAATTTCCTGATCTTTTATGGAATTTAAAACTTCGCATTGTTTTCCTAGTTGTTCGAGAACTTGTTCGTTTGTTTTGCGGATCCATCCATGATATTTTCAAAATGCGTCGGTAACACCACATTTCGAATGCTTCTATGGTTTTTAATGTTGGATTTTTTTAAGTGTCCAAGCTTCAACTCCATACAAAAGGGTTAGAGAAAATATAACATCGAAGCCATTCTTATCCGGAGCGTGATATATTGATATCGCGATTACAAAAAAGTTTTCTCATTCTATTAAAAGTTGACCGCGCAATTTCAATGCGGCATCTTATTTCTTTTGTCTGATCAGTATCTTCTGTGAGCTATTCTATATTAGGCTACCTTATCTTTGCGTTTTTACTTACCTGCATGTATTTTGTTTTGGTCTGATTTTTAAGACCACTATTTTTTGCAGCTCGTTCTATTTGGTTGTATGCTTCTATCATTTCTCTTCTCGATCTTGCGATTATGTCAACATTATCTGCAAATGTTAGTATTTGCACGCTTTTATTGATGATTGTTCCTCAAGTATTGACTGTTGTGTCCCTCAGTATTTTCTCGAGTATCATGTTGAACAAGATACATGATAGAGCGCCTCCCTGACGTACTCCCTTTTTCACATCTATTGTTTCCGTTAATTCATTTTGTATCCGGATTCTACTTTCTACTTTTAGAGATTTTTTTATTAGTTCTATACAACTTTTTAGAAGGTTTTTATAAAAGGAATTTTTGGAAAATTATAATTTATTCAATTTTTTCGTGTATAAAATAAATTGACAGTCTTTTAATAAAATACTGAATAATTTTGTATATTTAATAGGTGGGAAAAATTGTTCACAAAGCTGCAAGTAAATATCTGACGCCGACAACTTTAGAACTAGGAGGAAAAAATCCGGTATATGTTGACAGTTCCGCTAATTTAAAAGCAACAGCTAAACGAATATTATGGGGCAAATTTCAAAACTGCGGACAGATTTGTATATCACCAGATTATATACTATGTACCCCAGAAGTGCAGGTGAAGCTTTTAGGTTTTATGGAAGACGTTATTAAGGAGTTTTTTAATGGTAAGTTCTTTTATATAAATAAATATAAATAAAGATTTTTTACAGTACAATGTAGTTAAAAAAATGTTGCGAAAATTAATTGACAAAGTCTAAATCTGTTACACGATGGTAGATCCACTAGGTTTAACAATCAAATGGGTAGTGAGTCGGCCATTAATATATCTTTGTTATCCAACTTTATTCCTAACTCTATAATGGGAAGTTATCAACAGTTAACCACAACAAAAAATCCCAATGCAAGCTGGGAAAACTGACCTACAGAACCTTTATATTAATAATCAACAAAGCAGCAAAAAATCATATTGGAAAACCAAAAAAACTAAAATATGATTAAAACCTTTACCACGGGGTCTGTAGAATGCAAAAGAGCGTTAACAAAATAAAAGAACTTTCTTTCAATAGATAAAAGCATCAAAAAACTAATGAAACTATGTTAAAATACACAAGACATTGAGCCTAAGCTATATATTCTCAAAAAATTAAGGAAAACAGCTTAGTAAAAATTGTTTCAATTATAAAAATTTTTGTGATAAAAAAAAAGGCGGGATCTGAAAGATGGCCTGATTGGCCCTGATAACATACCGACAGAGATGTTAAAGCTTATAAATGAGGAGAACATTGGAATACTGGTCAAACTTTTCAATGATGTTTATTCGACTGGTGATATCCCTGAAGATTGGTTAAAGTCCGAATTCATAACACTACCAAAAAAACAACGTCCGAAAAACTGTAGCGATTATAGAATGATAAGCCTTATAAGCCACACTTTGAAAATATTTCTACGCATCATCCACAGTAGAATCAGAGATAAATGTGAAGAAGATCAGGATGAAACACAATTTGGCTTCAGAAATGGACTGGGAACTCGGGACGCCCTCTTTGCACTAAATGTATTACTGCAGAAATGTCGAGATCAAAGGAAAGACGTCTTTGCTGTATTTATTGACTATGAAAAGGCCTTTGATCGAGTACAGCATCACAAATTAATTACAATATTAAAAGATAAAGGAGTTGATAGTCAAGACATACGATTCATAGAAAAGTTATACTGGCGTCAAACAGCGACAGCTTGCATAAACGGAAAATCAACAGAAATATGTAAAATACAAAGAGGTGTCAGACAGGGTTGTATACTATCCCCACTGTTATTTAATTTATATTCAGATAGAATATTTAAAGAAGCGCTGCATAATTTGGAATGGGGCGTGAAAGTTAATGGAATTCTGATAAATACAATCAGATATGCAGACGATACAGTTATTTTAAGTGATGACATGAATGGATTACAATGCCTTTTAAATGCCATTGATAAAGTGGGAAGAGAGTTTGGCCTAAACATAAACTGTTCAAAAACAAAACACATGGTGTTTAGCCGTTTAGCACATCAAGATGCACGATTATATGTTGATGGTCATATAATTCAAAGAGTGTCCAGTTTTAAATATCTTGGTTGCCATATTACTGAACAACTAGATCCAGATCAAGAGATAAAATGTAGAATCGAGATAGCCCGCACGACATTTTTAAAAATGAGGTCATTCTTCTGTAATGATAACTTGCAACTTCAACTTCGAAAGCGCATGGTTAAATGCTACATTTGGTCAGTCCTCTTATACGGTGTCGAAGCATGGACATTAAAAATATCCACGATTAATCGTCTGGAGGCCTTTGAGATGTGGCTGCACAGACGTATACTAAAAATTCCATGGACGGCTATGCTGACAAATGTGGCAGTCCTTGAAAGAGCAAATGCTGCTCGCGAGCTGCTTGATAACATCAAATGTAGAAAGATGGCCTATTTTGGACACGTAGTAAGGGGAGACCGATATAATATTCTTTAACTTATTATGATGGGTAAAATCGAAGGACGCAGAGGAATTGGTAGAAAGCAGGCCTCTTGGTTGAAGAATATCAGGGAGTGGACAGGAATAAAGAAAGCTGAGCAACTATTTAGAATAGCTCGAGACAGAGACAGTTTCGCCATGTTAATCGCCAACGTCAAGGTGACTTGATAGGGCACGTTAAGAAGAAGAAGATCTGAAAGATAAGCACAAAACGAAATAGTAGATTCGATTAATGATGTTTGTAAGTATTTTGTATCCCGAACAAAGTAATGTTGATAACTGTTCAGTGGAAAACCGGGAATCTTGAGTTCTTCCAGTTACTTGTTTTTAAATATTATTTGGACTTCCCGTGGTTTTATTAAAGAACAAGAGACCGTACATGAAACTATTTAATTACTTCTAGGTGACTGTTATATAAACTGTTTTTATAATATAAAAGAAAGAAAAACTTAATTGTTTGTAATAACACAACTAAAAATATTACAAATATAAATTAACACTAACGTTGTTACATCTATGACTGGAAACGGAATGATAATAAATGAGGGTTGTTACAGGTAGGCTCCCAAAAGGTGAACTTCTAAAAATAAATTCTAACGGTAATTTCTAATCTCCCTTAGCAATAAGTCGTTGCCAAACTAACTAAGCTATGCCGTTTCAAAGACGACAGGACCGTCGTCAGATCTTTTAAAGTTTTAACAAGTAAAGAGATGCCTTTATAATTCTAACACAACAGTTTGTCTCCATTTTTATGAATAGGGCAGATTATACTTTTCTTCCATTGTTGGGGGATTCCTTTTTTTTATCCATATCTCTTGTATTAACTGGTACATCTGTTGTGAAATTTCTTCCCCCTTACCTGAGTGGTTCTGCCGGTATTTTATCTATTCCCGGTGCTTTATGGCTTTTTTGTATTAGGATTGCCGTTTGGAACTCTTCTATCGTTGGGGGTCTAGTTAATTCAATTTCTTCTCCATCTTCCTTCAGCTTTTGTTGTTGTACCTCCTGCCACGCTTGCCGCTGCCTCTGTTGTTGTATTGGTGGTAGGTGTGCCTTTGTTTAGTAATTCTTTTTTAAACCATAGTTTTTGGATGTTATAAATTCAATTTATAACCCCTCTGTGGCTCAGTGGTAAGAGCGCCTACCTTTAAATCTAAAGGTCGTTAGTTCGAATCTCATCTGGGTGGAAATTTTCGTTTATTAAAAATTAATAAATAAAAATAATTTCTACCCTTGTGCAATCGGTACTCACCAGAGGGATCGCAGATGTTCGGATACAATTAGCGTCTCTTAGCAAAGATAATGACGTCGACTTTGCTAAGTATCAAGACAATTACTGTACACACACACACTACACTAGGTACCTGACTGTACCATGCCAATGATCATAGTTGTCGAGGCATTAACCAAAAAAAAAAAATTCAATTTATGATGACATATTATAAAAACACAATGGTTACAAGGAAATGCCAGGAGAATTTAATACTACAGTGGAGTTACAGCAAGTAGTTTTTTTACACCAATTACGTTTCTTAATTTGGTATCTTGCTTTGATATAATGGAACCAATTTTACAAGCAGGTCTTTGAAATCAGTAGGCTTTATTCTATTAGAAGTGTCGTATATTTATCAATGGCATAAATTCCTAGTAATTTTTCTCGGTAAACTAGAAAGGTAATTTATGTCAATGTATGAAAATGTCACACTCGACATTTATTTACGGAGAAAAGTGTGAGATGTTAACGTACCTTAAGGTTGTATATTCCTTTATTATAAATTTTTAGATTCACGACACTGTAACAATGTGAAAATATTAATTTTCCTTTATGTTATCAAAAAGTTTGATATATCAAGGTACTTACACTGATTTAGTTGTATGTTAAGGTAAACAAGGCCTATTTTAATATCTGCTAATTAAAGGTATGATGCTTGTAAATATACCTATAATAAAAATTCAGACTCCTCAATGTCATATAATCAGGTATTATTGTAAACAAACAAGGTCGCCCTGCAAACTAAGCCGCATAGTATCTCGTACTACAAGGCATACCATGTATCTTATTCAATGATAAGTTTTATTAACTGGGAAGTTTGATGAAAAGTAAATTATTTTAAATGGTTACTACAATTTGTAGTGGCAATGATGTATAATAATATAAAAATATAAATGAAGTTAAAACATAAATTTTAAAATTAAAATGTTCAAATTAAGGCATTTAAAATATAGATATCAATTATATAATAATCTGATATCCAATGAGTACCTTTGACTTTGTGATAACTTTATTAAAAGAGTGCCTTTCTTAACCTTTATGCGGGCAGGGTGTGTCCAATGGGCCCGAGACGCCAATTATTTTATCATAAACTGATAAAAAAAAAATTATTGAATTTTATGCATCACTAAATTTGTTTAGAAGTGTGATCGATCTTGTTAGGACAATTCTGTAAGATTTTCGTAACAATATCTGCATTTTCAGCAGCAGTGTCATCAAATTGAAATAATCCAGTACTGCATAAAGTTTTTGCAGATCGATTTACAAACAAATCACAGCAATCACATCAAATTGATCATCCGTTTTACTTTCGTATAAAATCACACTTTTCCAAATTAAATTTTCAATTTCCAAAAACCTCTTCAATCCACAACCCTGCTCCATAGACAATATATATTCCTGCTATCGACATCAGTCTAACAAACCTAAGAAAATCAGAGATATCCTCAATCGTCAATAAACAAAAATTTCGTACACTATTAAACAGATATGCAATACCTACGACGTATATATACACAATGCGTCAAAAAATCAAGACAAAGTTGGAGCAGCAATTTATTCGGAAGCCTCCGAATCCATTAGTTTTAAATTGTCCTTAATTACAACCATCTTTTCGGGCGAATTATTCGAAATTCTAAAAGCACAATCATACTAAATACCAAACAAAAACAAAGAAAGATGTATAATAATAACAGATTTTTTAAGTTCATTATCCTCACTGACCTAATTGTAATTTGACAACCCCCTATTCATCATCATCACAGTCATTAACATCTTAGTAGATGTGTTGTGGTTCATAATTGGGCTTCAGCAGCTCGGACAGTTTGATTGATAATATTTCTCCACTGGTCGCGGTCATCAGTTATATGTATTGCCTCAGTATACTGTTTATTGAAAAGCTTTTTTAGTAATGTCCGCCCATCACTGTGGAGATCTTCCGCGTTGGCGTTGAGTCTGAGGCCTTCCTTGGACCGACAAACCGCTCCATTTTGTGATCACTTCGATGGATATGGCCAAAGAACTTTAAAATTCTAGAGTAAGCGGTACTGGAGAGACGCTGATCCGGTTTAGTTTCATCCAGAACCGAGATATTTGAACGGCGAGCCGTCCATGGAATTCGAAGCAGGCGTCTCCATGTCCACATTTCAAAGGCGTCTATACGTCGTCGATCTGATTCTTTGACTGTCCATGTCTCGCATGCATAGTCAAATATGGAAAAGACCAGAGTTGAAACGAGTCTCTTTTTGTTTGTCATAGTAACGTGACGATCACGCCAGACCCCGTTTAATTCACTCATTGATGCTCTTGCTAGTTGAATGCGTCTTCTAATTTCGGATTCACAACTGCCTGTGTTGTTAACTAGAGCTCCAAGATATATCATAGATGAGACTACCTCGCATCCTGCAATAGTTTGGGTTTCAGGAAACTGTTGTTGGCGATCAATAACCATGAATTTTGGTCTTGTTGTAGTTAACCATGAGTCCAAATTTAGCACTTTCTACCTCGAGTTTTTTTAATAATTTAATAACTTCTTCTGGAGTAGAGGCTAGAAGTGTAGTGTCGTCTGCGAAACGCAAGTTAAATATCTTAACACCTCCTAGGTTTACTCCTCCCTCCCAACCATCCAAAACTCTGCGCATTATGAACTCCGAATAGATGTTAAATAATAAGGGAGATAAAACGCATCCTTGGCGTACTCCCTTCTCCAAAGTGCATTTGTCAAACAGGCATCGGTCCATTCGAATATATGCCAGGTTATCTTGATACAGTTTGCTAATAAGGTGAGTCAAGTGTTTAGGTACACCCATTGTCGTCAATATGTTCCATAGTTTGTCCCATCTAACATTATCAAAGGCCTTTGTATAATCAACAAAACATATAAATATCGGAATCTGGTATTCTCTGGCTTTTCTATGATGTTTCGTACATTAAGGATTTGTTCTCTAGTACCATCTGCCCCTTACAAATCCAGCCTGCTCAGGTGCTATTTGCCAACTTATGAAGTTTTCTAGACGCCGTTGCAGTATGTAGAGGATCACCTTACTGGCGTGTGATATTAGAGCTTATAGCCTGTAGTTGTTACGATTATTTGTTGAACCTTTCTTATGAAGAGGTATGATTATGGTCTTTCTCCAATCCTCAGGGCCAGACGCCTGTGTGCCATATTTTATTGCACAATCGATGTAATATTTTTACTCCACATTCCGGAAGATGTTTCAAGACGTCTGCCGTAATGAGATCATATCCTGCTGCTTTGTTTAACTCTTTTTAAAGCGAATTCCACCTCGGAAAAAAGTATGTCCGGTTCAGACTCAAAAACTAGTGTGGTGTGTCTCTGTTAAAGGAGAATGTAACCCCCTATTACTTCTTATTAAAAAAGAACTAAAAAAACATTTCAAATAAGAACATCCAGGTTCATTTTTATGGGTGCCTTCTCATTTCGGAATTGAAGGTAACGAAGTTGTAGATAAACTGACTAAAAACGTACAAGTTAACCCGATGTCTAAAGAAAGTAACATATTGGTACAAAACGATTTAAAACCATACTTAAAACCAAAAATAATGCAAAAATGGCAACAAACTTGGAACAACACTCCATCAAGGCTATACGAAGTCAATAAACATCCACATCTTTGGAAACCAAAAATAAAAGACAGAAGAGAGAAAGTGATACTTACCCGTCTTCGTATCGGCCATACACGACTTACTAATGACTATTTATTAGAGCGCAAAAATAAACCAGTGTGTAAAGTATGCAACAGTGTTCTAACAGTAAAACATTTTTAATACAGTCTCCCAAATATAACAGTAAACGACTCAAATTAAGCATACCCAACTCCCTAAGAGATAAAAAAATATAGATATCCAAAAAATATTTCCTTATCTTAAAGACTGTCATGGGAGATTTTAACGCAAAGGTTGAGGAAGATACACTAAACGAATGTACAAGAGGATATGCTCTGGGAAATAGAAACGAAAGGGGTGACAGGCTTATCGAATTTTGCCAAAAACAATAATTTTGTTATAGCTAACACATTGTTTCAAAATGCCAAATAGGACTATATACCTGGAAGTCACAAGCTGATCAAAAAGAGAGCATTGTAAGAAAGCAAATAGACTATGTATTAGCATTGTTTATAAACCACTACCAGTGGTAGTGGTTTATAATCAATGGTATTAGTTAGACAAAGATATAGGAACGCAATTGTATCCGCAAAACCTATCCAAGTGCCGACATAGGATCAGATTACAACCCAGTAGTGACCAAAATTAGTATCAAATGTAAATGATAAAACGAAGAACAACAAATTCAAAAATCGATACAAGTAAAAGTAACCCACTCATAAGGCAACGCCTGGTAGTAGCCAGTTGTGACCGAATACATCAATGAACTGCTTAAAGACAATAAAACAGAGCAGATGGAGATATAATTAGAAGAGGATATGGTTTTAAATATAATAAAAGAGGAAACTAAAATGTCATTAAAAAACAGCAAAAATGGTAAAGCAGTAGGTCCAGACCAAACCCCTATATAAATCTTAAAATACATAAATGATGAAACCTTAGACATTATAGTAGACTTATTTAACTCAGTATACAAAACAGGACACATACCGAAACAATGGTTGCTCTCCACCTTTTGTGCTATCCCTACAAATAAAAACGCTAAATATTGCAGTGAATACATAACAATATCACTAATAAGTCACATTCTCAAATTATTCTTAAAAATAATACATGGTCGTATAAATAAAAAACTGGAAGAAGGAATAGATGATAGTTTGGATTCAGAAACGGACTAGGAACCAGAGAGGCGTTATTTGCTTTTAATGTGTTAGCTCAAAGATGCATGGATATGAATGTTGATGTGCATGTTTGTAAGTTGATTTTGAAAAAGCATTTGACAAAGTAAGACATCAGCAATTAGTCCAAATTCTAAAGATTAAAAACCATAGACCATAGGAACTTATATAGAAAGTTACAATATCTGGGACACGTAATGAGGGAACAGCGATATGAACTGCTAAGGCTGATAAAAGAGGGAAATATTAGACTAGGAAGGAGTACTGGAAGAAGGTAAGTGTCATGGTTCACTATCACATTAATCTAAATACGCTAATGACTCTGCGTGGTTGATGCGTTATTAAAATAAAAAAAATAAAAAAAATAAAAAAATATCTGTATTTTGATGTGATGCTAATATTACACTATTAACAGCGGAAGTGTTTATCGGCATACTGTCTTGGGATACACCTCGTTTATTAATTATCTATTAAAATCAGTTCAGAAGCCACATGTTCCAAAATTATTAATATATTAAAAATTATGGTACAAATGTGTTTCTTAATCAAACAAATTATATCTAAAGGTGGAAAGTGTACGATGTTCCTTTTTTGTTTTAGGATCAGTTAAAACTTCAAAAGATTATGCCAGAATTATTAACTCCAGACACTTTGATAGATTAGTAGGCTTATTGAAGAACCAGAATATTGCCATAGGTGGTCATCTTGATGCCGACGAGCGTTATATCTCTCCAACTATTCTTGTAGATGTTCATCCTGATGATCCAGTGATGCAACAAGAAATTTTTGGTGAGGATAGTAATAATAACATATTACCAGTCATATTTGGAATTGTGTGCTTAATAATCTTTTTTTGCTTAACCTGCCATAGCTGCTATTTAGTTAAATTTTTTATTATCACCCTGATATGACAAATATACTTGATACTAAATTTCCGTTGTGCTTATTAAAATAATTAAAGTGATATAAAGATGTAAAATCTAAACTAATATTTTATTATTGTTTAAATTAGGTCCAATTCTTCCTTTTATTAATATAAAGGATGAGGAAGAAGCTATCAACTTTATAAATTCCAGGGAAAAAACCATTAGCCCTGTATGTTTTCACCACTAAATCTAAGGTAAAAAAGAACTTCATGGAAAGGACTTCAAGTGGAGCAATGGTTGTCAACGACACTATTATGCATATTATAACTGAAGGTTTGCCATTTGGCGGAGTTGGATATTCTGGTAAGTCTTTTTTATTTTCATTAATTTTTTTCTTTTTTTTTGTGTTGTAATATCTTCCTCAACTACCATCTGTGGTTCAAAGTAATTATGGCGAAAGATGTGGTCCATCTTTCGCCATAATTACTAAATTTTAGACACAATTACACAAATTAGAAGTCATGAGAATAGTTTTTTGTTACCAATGTACAGATACTATAAATATTGAATATAAAGCATATATTACTGCTCTAGAAGAAATTAATTAAACTTGCCAAAGAATTGTCCAAACGATACAAAACGATATTTATTACAGCTGTCACTGCTTGTATCGCTAGTCCTAATTATCAACAAAAAGTAAAACATTTTATTATGGAAAAAAAGAAAAAAAAGTTAAGATTTGATTTAATGTATAGTGCGTCTATGTATCCGCTTATATGTATTTCGGACTAATGGGCCTCTTCAGAACGATAATTCAAAGTCGGTCTGAACGTGAAAATAAATAAACTCTTCTGTCTTAGAAAGCAACTCTAACATGGCTTCGAATGGGACGTAAATAGCGACATCTGATATTAAAATTTGTAAACTAATTTTCGAAACCAAATTCAGATTTTTGCTTTAATCTGTGCCTTCTAAGAATACGGATTCTTCGTCTTAGTTTACGGATTTTAATATCAGAAGTCGCTATTTGCGTCCATTCAAAGCCATGCTGGAGTTGCTTCGTAAGGCAAAAGAGATTTATGTTTCACGTTCAAGCGACTGTCAATTGCCGATATACTCTGTACGAGTACTAGAAACCAATTCGCTAAGGATTTTTGTTTAGTCGAGGAGATATGTTGTGAAATGCAAATTTTAGATTCCCCATGTCTCTAATAACATCTTTATCAACGTCTGTTTTGCCTTACAATTCTTAGAAGGCACAAAATAAAGCAAAAAATCATCTGAATTTGGTTTCAAAAATTAGTTTACGAATTTTATTATGGACTTTAAATCAAATGTCTACGAATCTTGTATTAAGGGTGAGGGGTGAATTTTTTTATTAAAGTTTCATAGATGTATTCGCTCTAACTGAAGACAAAGAAACCAATTTTTTAATTTAATTTTATGATGAAGTAGAAACCATCTACGATAGATATTTTACAAATAACGTCTATCATATTTGGAGATCTTAGTACAAAATTAATCACCACCAATAATGAAAATAATAATAAAGAATACGATTTGTAACTTCAAAGGACATAATGTTACTACAAGTATCTACTTTTGTACACATAAATGTTGTCTAATGGAATACCAAAAATTCAAATAGATTAGAATACCTCCTTACAGAAGCCAAGAACTTCTCTAATCTAATCTAATCCCAAACCTTTTTCTTCTTCTTGATGTGCCTATCTGTTACGAATGTTGGCGATCATCATGGCAATCTTTATCTTATCTGCAGCAGCGCGGAAAAGCTGCACATATGTTGTATTGAACCAGATTCTAAGGTTCTTCAACCAAGATGTTCTTCTTCTTCCTGGACCTCGATTTCCAAATATTTTTCCTTGCAGGATGGCTTGAGCAGGAAAGCATATCTGGAATGCATTTCTCATATGTTTGAAGAATTGTAACTTTCGAGATTTAATGGTGGTCAGTACCTCTGGGTTCTTATTCATTCTTCTGAGGATTTCCTCATTTACGACTCGATCAGTCTACGGGATCTTAAGTATTCTCCGATAAAGTTACATCTTAAATGCTTCCAGTTTTTTGCACATATCTTCGTTCAAGGTCCACGATTCAACACCATAAAAAAGGACAGAGAAGACGTAGCATCGCAGCATTCTTACTTTTGTATCAAGAGAGAGGTTGTGACTCTTGAAGAAGGCCCCATCTGATTGAAGGTGGATCTAGCTTTTGCGATGCGTGCTCTAATCTCCTGGTTGTTGGTCCATTCTTCATTTATTATGGTGCCGAGGAAGTTGTAGTGCTCTTCCCTACCAATCGCGGGGTAATCATCGATTTAGACTACTTCTTTTTCAATAAGTAAAAAAATAAGGATCCTTAATACAAAAAAATGAACACTAGAGGCACTGGCTACAATATAAAAACTGTAAAAAAAAGTAATTTACATAAAAAAATCTCAATGTACAAACAATGCTTGGTATTAATATATATATTTGCTATAATTTAAATTAATACGGGGAAAAAAGAAAATAGGTTTAGGCTAACAGTTATAATACAATATGTGGTTTCGCTATAATGTATAAATGGCCTAAAACTTTTTTAAAATTTTTAAAAAAGGACTCATATTTTCTAATAAAGCCATACATTTAATGTTTGGGTTTCCTTCATCTACGGCACTACAGCCAAATTGAACATTGGTCTGCTTTATTTTTTGTCTTCCCCCGTGCTTGTTTGTGGCTAATCTTCTCCATAGACGAACTCCTAAAAGGGCCTGTGCATCGCTGTTTACTGTGTCTTTCAGCGCTTTCTTACATTTTCAACTGGTCTCTTTCTTTGCATTCTAGAATTTATCCTCATCCATTTTTATCACATGTCCGGCCCATTCTAAGAAGACAGTGGTGTTTCCTTATACAGTTGATAAAGCTCGTTGTCATATTTACTTCTAAAGCTTCCGTTTTCCCTCGCAGGTCCCAGTATTCTCCTCAGTACTTTCCTTTCGAACGTATTGAGTTTGCTTTTGGTTGTTTTTTTTCAGGAACATTGCGTCCGTGCCATAGCATGCTATTGATTGAATTAAGGTTTTACAGATTCTCATCTTAGTATTTAGGTGGACATTTTTAGACTGAAATATATGGCAGAGAACAGAAGAAGCTCTGTTTACCTGAGTTATTCCTTTTCGTATTTCTCCATCTTCTGATCCGTCGGCATATATTTCTAATCCCAGGTATGTAAACTTTCCAACCTTTTCAAAGTGATCTTCATGTATAATGTTTTGTGGGACTATATTTTTTCTCGTCTGTATCATTATTTTTATTTTTTCTGTGTTAATTTCTAGACCCAGCATTTTTGTTTGGATTTTTAAATCTGCATATGTTTCCTGTGATCCTGTTGATGTTCTACTCATAGTCATAATATTAATTTCATCGGCATAAACAGCCAGTTGGACCGTTAGGTTGCTCAGTAGGTGTCCTCGTGCAGTTTGCATTTGCCTATCCTCATACTTCAGTGCCATGTTAAATAAAGTTGAGGCCTGCTTCTGTTCAGTGACTGAAGCAGATCTGTCTGCTTCAGTCACTGCGAAATTTTGAAAAAGTCCGTCCGGTGATTTTGTATTCGTACCTATGGCTGAGTTTTACTCGTTGTGGCTTTAATGAGTCTGATTAGTTTGTGTGGTATTGCCAATTCAGCCAATATATTCTAGACTTTGTTCCTTTTGACTGAGTCGTATGCCTATTTAAAGTCTACAAACACATTCTGAACATCAATGTCATGTTATTATAATTTACTCGAGATCTGTTAATATTTGATCCAGTACCGATCTTCTCCTTCGGAAGTCCGTCTGATACTCTCCAATAATATTTTATTCCACGGTAGTTTTTACACTGGAGTTTGTCTTCTTTTTTGTACATCGAGCATACTGTACTTTCCTTCTAGTCGTCGGGTTCTTCCTCTATGGTTAGAGCTTCTACTACATTCTCTACTTCATTCTCTTCTAAGTAGTTCGTACCCATTTTATCTTCCATATCCACTTGTGTACCAAGTAGGGTCTAAAAATAATATTCTAGTTTGCTGTGACTTTCTGTTGGTCACTGATTATTTGCCCACTTTTATCTTTACATAGATTTGTTTGAGGTTTATACCCACTTTTTATCTTTTTTAGGTATGGGATCATATAAAGGGAAGAAAACATTTGACACGTTTAGTCACCAGAAATCTGTTTTATCTAAAGGTTTTAATGTTATAGCAGACAAAATCGAATCAGTGCGATATCCTCCCAATACCAATTTTACGACGAAATTTTTGAAGGCAGTATTAAAGTAAGTAAATAATATTTTATTAAATAACTTTTATATCGTAGTGACAACTTCTATTGTAATAGGTATATATTTAATTAAAAATTTAATAAAAAAATTCAAATAGATTACAATAGTGGGTTGTTGTTCAGTGCGAACGTTTTTGGTCTTCAGACTATCATCAGACCATCGTCAGTGAACTTTGCTTAGTACTTACTATAGATTCCATTACCAATAGGCGAGAGGTTTTCATCTATAAGCATAGTATAATTGACTATTTTTTTGCATTACTACCGCAGTAAACCTTTTTTATTCGATTTTATATTTTTTTTTTCAAGTGCAATGTACTTTTTTTTTAATTTTTCCAAGGGTATCCAAATTTTTATTCCCATATAACATATAACTTATAAGAAAAAAAAAACAATTTCCCGAATCGCTTCCAGTAAAATTTTTTTCTTTCTTAATTTAAAATGTGGTAATTTTTCCAAAAATGCTTTCTTGTTGAGTTATTTGCAATTGTTTCTTAAAATAATGCCTTAATTAGAGATTTTTGGATTTCTTTTTTTCTAAAAAACTACTAAATGACTTCTGTAAAAAGGTTTATAATCTTTAAACCTTCAAGTACAAGTAAGAAAATTTTTACAAGGCTAAATGGATTCGTAAAACATGAAAGCAAATTAATTACTATTTATAACTGGTAATAAGCCACATTAAAGATAAAAATACATTTATTGACGTTTCAATTTCCAATTCGGAAATCGTTCTCAAAATACAAATAGTAAATTAAACAAATTTTGTTTTTTGTTACATAGTGAAAAAATTCTTCTGATAATTTAATTTTATCTGACTCATTTATATTGACAATTCAGACATACATTATGCATTTTAAAGTAGACGACTTTAAAATGATATTGCCAATATTGTTGAGTTGCGCTCCTGGGACGACTTTACTTATAAGATAGTTCATTCGATTACATGAAATCAACTTTAACTTGAGAATATCCGTCAGAAAAAATATGTAATTTACTATGGAATCACTAACAGGAGAATTTTACTGTCATCATGTCATGTGTTTGTCTTTTTAAAGACGAATTACATGCTATGATTTTTTCTGACGGATATTCTCAAGTTAAAGTTGATTTCATGTAATCGAATGAACTATCTTATAAGTAAAGTCGTCCCAGGTGCGCAACTCAACAATATTGGCAATATCATTTTAAAGTCGTCTACTTTAAAATGCATAATGTATGTCTGAATTGTCAATATAAATGAGTCAGATAAAATTAAATTATCAGAAGAATTTTTTCACTATGTAACAAAAAACAAAATTTGTTTAATTTACTATTTGTATTTTGAGAACGATTTCCGAATTGGAAATTGAAACGTCAATAAATGTATTTTTATCTTTAATGTGGCTTATTACCAGTTATAAATAGTAATTAATTTACAATGCCACAAGAAAATAGCTTTCAGAACAATATTATGAAAGCAAATATTTCGAATAGTACTCTATCGCTGTATATGGTGCGATGGCGCGTTTTCACTGAAGCTCTATGCTCCACTTAGGAGTTCAAGAACCTTATATATATATATATATATATATATATATATATATATATATATATATATATATATATATCGCTGTATATGACAATAAAAAACTATGGTTTTAGCAAGATAGATACAACTTATACTTGCCAAGCAAAGCTTTTTATATAATTGTAATTTATTTAGTAGTTTTTTAGAAAAAACTTCCAACGATCACTAATTGAAACGTATTTTAAGAAAAAATTGCAAATAACTCGGAAATAAATATGCAATTGCAATATATGCAAAACATTACTATGCTCTGTTTTTTAACCAGGAGGAGTAATTCAAATTTTCCGCGCCGTAATTCTTGTTTGTAATTGGTCCAACCGCAGGCAAGTTTACTCCACTAATATATGACATATTGACACTAATGACATTTGTGAAATTTTAAAATTCAAAATTTATATCGACGATTTTTTGTATTTTCTGCGTTGTTCCTTACATTCATAGATTTTTCGCTTGCATTTATATAAAGAACAGTTCTTTTCAGAACTATTTAGTGTTATTAAGATAACAATATGGATTCAATGCCAAGTACTAGTGGTAATTATTCTTCTCCACCTTAAAAACGCTGAGTAGATTTGGGTCATTTATCAACAAATAAGAAACAATGTTTTATAAACATGTATAAAAAAATGAAAATTGATAATTCTGGATTGAAAATAACAGCCACGGTAGCAAAAGTAAAACAGGCAGCAGGTTAGTTTTTGCAGAATAGTTATTATTAAAATCAAAACTTACTAAAGTAATGTGCTAATTTTAGGTGTTGCGAATTTAACTATTAACCAAACAATTAAAGAATATAAGCAAATTGGTGATATGCGAGTATTATTTAATGTGATATTTTTCTAGATGATATTTATACTAAATATTGTTTAAAGTATTGTTAAGAAGGATTTTCATTTGTTTTCATTACAATAAAGAACCATTAGTAAAGTAATATTGTGTTTTAGTTTGATTGCATTGATGCAGTTGGTTTTGTTCTTCCTGTTTGTAGATAATCCCAAGAAAACTGCACAATTATGCTTGAATGTATCATAATAGATTGAATTTGTTAATTTTAGTCAATTTTATTTATTGATAGCAAATGTTACAAACTCAAGAATCTAGCATTAAAACAAATTGAAAGTACACACTTATTTATACAAAGTATCTTTTTGCATTATAGTGCTTCAAATAGAACCTAAAGATATTGATACATAAGTTAAACAAATCTATCTAATGAGGTAACTGATTACCAAAATACCATACCTATATTTGAAACATAATTTATTCTGTGGTGGGAAATATGAAAAAGTGAATTTTAAAGCAGTGAACGGGAAGGAGTATGTAAAACAAATTGCCTGAAGCAATTAGGGAGATTGGATTATTAGCTTAAAAATAATGATCAAAGTCAAAGTGGTAAGGAAAAAAACCTAGATTCAAGAAATTAGTCACACCAGAATAAGAATATGGTCTACGCAGTTTAAAAGAACAGTATTTCAGAAATCTTTGAACTCTCTCTAACTTTTTGATACATCCATTTGCATAGCTTTGTTGCATACTTATTAGATCTATTTGCAAATTAAAAGACAAATTTATGTGAAAAACCAAACTAGATGAATGTGAATAATGTGAAAAACTTTCTTGGGTGTGAATCTGTCTTTTTGGTTTACTCCTTTTGGTTAAAAAACAGAGTATAGTAATTTTGCGTAAAGATTTATCAAAACCATTTCTTTAACTGATCAGCTATCATTATCTAAAAACAACATGATTCAATAAACAATATTGAAAATTATAATTTATAGCTTACTCACACGATACATCCCATCTTTGTCGGCTTTAAACGTTTCTGCTTTGTTTTTGTGTTTTCAAAACATTTCTAAACTCGTTTCCTGCTCTATCTACAACAAGTAATTTTAGATGCATACTAACGCCTTTTGTTTCAGCCTTTGTTATTTTTAGTTTGCTTTGGATTAATTTTTCGTAAGTCTATAAGTTCAGGTCAAAAATTTAAAAATTGTAATTTCGTGAAAGTTTAATTAAGAAACATGTTATATCTTTGTATAGCGAAGAAGGTTTAAATACAACTTTAATTTCATATCCACGTATTGCTGTGCAAGTTTTCTTTTAAAGTTGCCTTTAAGGACAATTTTTTTGAATTTTAAAACTACTGAGTTATTTTTTAAATTTTTCTGTACACCAAGCCATAGTTTGTATGCATATCCACTAAAGCATTTAACAGTGAAATGAAATAAGAGTCGACAGCCTGTCCCGCTTAGGAAATCTTAACTCTTTTGATCAGTTTATAATTTTTTGACCGCTTTTCCACGCCATAAACATATTCTAGATGTCCAGACCTATCTTTTCAGTCCTGGTTCAAAGTATTCCAATATTCCAATCAGTGATTTTGCTTCTGGCTAGTTTTTAACTGCATCTATAACTTTAAGAATCGTTGGTGGTTTTTCTATCTGATCGTCTGTTGCGCTTACCTGATCGCTTTCGTCTTCCAGGTTTTCTCCTTCTTTCTCTATATTTCTCTATAGTTAAACGTAAAAAAAACAGATCTTTTTGTATAGCAGACTGAGGCTAGTTTCTTACTTAACAAATCGATATGACCTTTTAAGGTTGCTGTCTATAAAAATACCAAGAAATTTTACAGAATCAACTACACTGATCTGGCTGTAATTAAAAATCAAGGGTTGAAGGCTCCTTTATAGGATAATGCTTGTACAGTACTAGAGGAAGACTTGCTTTTGATACTACTGATTGTTAGGATTAGTTCAGATTTATCACTAGTCTTATAAAGAATGAATTCGAGACTTTTTTTGAATTCGGAAGATAGGAAATAAGATCTTATTGTCACAAAATAGCTGATGTTATATTTTTACTCACAATAACGAAGTATTTATTTAGATGTTCAGAGTTTGGAAAGATAAATGTGTAAGCTGTGTTAGTTTTATTTCGAAGATCGTTTATTATGGACCAAGCTACTTTGCAACATTTTTAGAGCTTGCCAGACGATTCAGTTGTGTAGTACCTACATTTTTTTAGCTGTTTTAATAAGTTTGATAGCTTTCTCTGTACTTGAAGATATCATCATCATCATCATTTAACCCGGATCTATCCACTGCTGGATATAGGTCTCCCTCAGTCTGTTCCATATATTTTTGTTTTGTGCTGTTTGCATCCAATTTTTGTCGATCCGTTTTATGTCATCAGACCATCTTGTTGGTGGACGACCTCTACTTCGATGTGCTTTTTGTCTCGGTCTCCACTGTATTATTCGCTGTGTCCATCTGTTATCCGACACTCTAGCTATGTGCCCCGCCCAGTTACACTTAAGGGTCATAATTCTTTCTATGGCATCTGTCACTCCTGTTCTCCGTCTTATTTCCTTGTTCGTGATCCGATCCCTACGAGAAATGCCTAACATCGATCGTTCTATGGCTCTTTGGGTAACACAAATTTTATTTCTTACTTTCTTGGTTAGTGTTAATGTCTCTGCACCATATGTAAGTACTGGCAACACGCACTGATTACGCACTTGAAGATATATTCAGTGATAAAAACTTGGAGTCAATTTGTTGATGTACATCAATATAACGCATATTCTTGGCTGATATGCGGATACTTTTGGTAGTCCAAGGTTTGTGATGTTTTGACTTAATTGTAATTAAAGGAAATACCATATTAAAAATACAGACAAGAATATTTAAAAGATCACAGCAATTAATAGTTCCACGTCACACATTTTTGAATTTACGAAAGTTCTGAGCGTAAAAAAATCCTATCTAAACGTTGGGTTTTCGAGATTGTTTGTTAAGAGTGTTAAACTTGGTATATACTACTTCATAGTCAGGATAGTTCGTTGGAAGTATCAAATGATCTATGAATGCAAAGAATGTATAGATTAAGATTCTTGTTATAAACCAATGAAAACTCAAACTAGGATTCATTCAACAGAAAGTCATATTTTGTTATAGGAGAGAAATGATTATTTGTAGAAAGAATTAGGGTGCCACCATGAGCTGAACTTGAACGATTATACCTAACAATTGTGGTATATTTTTCTACAAAATAAGGCTCGTTAACTTCAAGCCAGTGGTTAACAGAAACTATTGGGGGAAAATTGAGGTTTCTAGTTCCACAGAACACGTTATATTATTTAAAAATTTCGTTTTGGAGAGGCAACAAAATAGTAGTTTCGGTGAGATTCCCTTTGTTCGAATGGAAGTTTTTAAATGGCAGAATAATATTATAGTGTTTGTTTAACCCGGGATAAGGGGTATGGTGAGATTCTTATTTATTGTGTAAGATGAGATAATAATGACTCAAATTATCGATCACAGTTCGTTTATTTAAGGTCGGTGGACGTTAAAGAATTTTCCACATTTCAAGAAGGGTTCTTCTATGATAATTTTGTTATTTTGTCAGTATTTTCGCGATTGTAAAGTCGATTTCATGTTCAGTTGAGCATGACAATATGTAAGGGGTGTAGTCTTGGAAATTAGTACTAAAAGTTTTCCTTGATAAAAATTTGATATTCTGTTAATTTTTTATTTACTAGTTTTATTTATGAACTGTTTCTAAAAACTTTTAATACAATTTGAATATATGTGCTTTTTTCAGATATAACACAACGCTTCCCACTCAATTACTGGCCTATGTATTTAGTTTTGCATTGGGAGTAGCAGTTACTGTGTCAGGATACTATATAAACAAGTCAATTCAAGAAGAATAACTGGTTATATTTTGTACATACTTTAATATGCGGATTTTTTATTGGCTTTAGAGCAACAAATAATTTTATAATTTTAAGTGTAATATGAATATTTTGGTTTCACAAAATTATATTCAATATTAAGTACGTGTTTTATGGTTATTCCACCTCCACACCATACAATCCTGTGTGATTTTTGTTAATATTCTTTTTTTATTTAAATTTAAGGCGCATCATCCTATGTGATTACTGTTATCATAATGTCGTCTTCGGTACCAAAGAAATAAGTATTAAATAGGAAATATCGTTTAGCAACTATGTGCATTTCCCATGTTTATTAATTTGGTTTTCAAATTGCGCAATATGCACAATATGCAATGTTGCGATACGCTCTATTTTGGGCATTGTCTTTAAAAAGACAATGCCTGAAGTTTTATTTGTTGCAGGATAAATAAAACACACATTTTGAGTAGAAAAAAACTCAGCTTCAGAGTATTTTTGACTTTGCAGAGTCCTTCTAGCGAGGAGCTCTGGGGCTACCCGCTAAGGGTAAAACCGTACTGACTGTTGTCCGAAAAATGTCCCATATTTAAAGTAAATTTAACTTTTATATGAAACTTTTTCGATTTTTAACCAATTAAAATTTGAATAAAACTCCAGAAGGAAGGACGATGCACATCGAGGTGCGTGATTGGTGGCACCTGATGACAATAATAACGTGTTTTTACATTATTTTATTTTTTATAGCAAAGCTTCTATACTGGTTTAAATATTACGTTTATATGAGATTATGCCACAATTATGGGTTGTAATTTAATTAGTAACATTTTAGCTAATTTAGAACACAATTATAAGTGATAACCACCAGATCATATTCTAAAACAATAAGTTGCTTGGTACAATGTCTAGCAAACCACACCACAAATCTTCCTCACAAACCCCTCAAAGTCTTCAGAGAGACCATCAAAATTCAAAAACACTATTTAATTTTTATCGTGAAGAAGAGGGTCTGCATGAAAATTGGATGTGCAGCTCATTAAACTATAAAACCTCTTTATTTTAATTTATAATACTTTAATATTTCTTTACTGAAGACCCAAGCTGTACACTTTAGTGTATTGGTAATAGAACTAACATTTTACATAGACTATATATATAATGACTAAATAATGATATTTTCTTTCGTTAAGTTCTGAAAAAGTGAATAAATATTTACGAAAACGTTAGTCATATTGATACGCGTGAAGATTTGTATTGCAGATTTCTCCAATATTTAAAACTTTACTTTTTAACTAATCTGCAAAGATTAACCTTTCGTATTCTTGTCCTTAGGTTGTTATCCTACGCAATGATAAGGTATGGTAACGTCATGATATTTGATTGACTGCGAGTGGCTATTAAACTATATTTTGAGCTTTTTCAGATGCTTCCGGAAGACAGAGTCCAGGAATTTTTTAATTTGACTAGACTACCGTGGAGAAACTATCATTCTTGATCTTCTCCCTTTAAATGATCTTCTTTCCGTGCCCTCTTTTCATCTAATGATGTGACCAAAGTACCTCAGACTACTTCTGTATATTTTTGTAATGAGTCTGGTATTAATAGTTAGTTCTTAAAGCACCTTCACAAATGAGTTCATACAAGACTCATGTGTACTATGTGCTTTTTATCAAATTCGTAATATCCTCCTGTATACCCACATTTCAAAAGCTTTGATTCTGTTTGCGTCAGCGTCTGTTTCTGTTCTTCGCGCGTTTTTGCGGATCTATTAAGAATATAGGGGAACATACCCCATGCATGACATATGGATATATAGAGAGACTATAACATTACTATACTGACTATAACTTACTATGAACATGGAAGGCCCGGTTCAAATCCCGACTCCGACAAAAATTTTCAATTTCCAATTTAACTGAGCTACCACCGTGTTTAGGAAGGCACGTAAAGCCTTCGGTCCTGGCTACGAAAGTAGTCGTTAAGTCATTTTAGGGACGCTTGCGCGATCTGAAAACCCTAACACTAGACCTTAGCCAGAAGGTTACTCGAACTTTACTTTTACTTTATCACAGGTACGAAATAAAAACTCGTATTAAAAAGCCAGAAGCTTTTTCAACAGCCTAAGTAGTATTTTATAACATTTTACATATTTTCATTATTATAATATAGTTTATATACTAATTCTGATTTTTGTCACAGGGCCACCTACAAAAAAAAATCAACAAAAAACACAAAAAACCGGCTTCGGTCACCAAAAAAATTATAAAATTACTAACAAAAACCGGCTTCGGTCATCAAAATAAATTAACAAAATCCCAAAACCCGGCCAACTAGGCCCAACCCTTGAGCATCAAGTCGCCGAACTGAGCCGGGACTCAGAGCGGAGACATAAGGCCCAAGTAAGCAATTTTAGTTCGCGGATAAGCCACCTTAAAATAACAGGAATATAGCGGAAATGCGCTGTCCTGAGTTTTGCATTCGGTTAGGAAACCATGTTGGGGTTCTATTACCCAGGACCTCCACATGAAGAGCATTTGGCTGATTGTTGTGCCTCTATAGCGCATCAGAGTGCTATATAGGGGAAAGGTGAAATGACTCCTGTTTATATTCGAGTTAACACACCTTGCTCCAATGAATTGTTATACCCGATCGTAATTCTTAGGGGTGAACATTTCTCATAGGCTGGGTTTAATAAAATTGCTTGCTTGCTTGATCAGGATCTAGTCATCTTACACTACTAGCCCCGCTAGACTTTGTTGGCTTAGTACAACTACCACTCCTACATTGAGTTTTATTATTAATCAATTAACGAACCTTTGTCGAAGACGTCAAAACAAAAGAAGACTTCATCTGTGAAGAAATCAAAGAAGTGCAAGAGCCGGCGTGTTGACTGAAAACGTTCCCTACCAGCAAGATACTTAAGAATACTTAAGACCATTGAAAATAAAAAAGACAGTGGTCTTTAAAACTATTTCTGATCGTGTTTCGCCAAATAAAAGCCCAAGTGGGTTTGGAATTGCTTTTCCATTCAGTGTGTGATAAAGCTGCCATAACGCTTCGTCGCCAGAAACCTTATATAAATAGTAAATGTCCTTATAGAACCAAAAATATTATTTACTAAAGGTAGTAACATAAAGAGAGGGGCAGTAGCATAATCAACACTGTCGCCATTCTTGTGCCTCTCGAAAAGAGTGAACGTGGCCATACAACGAAGTTAGAAGTGCCGGCATCTCTGTGGAATTCGAGGTATACACTGTGCCCAGACTACTAACTATATATTTAGATTCATATAAGATAAAGTCATTGTAAGAAAGTCGAACTGTTAGAGTATTCTGGTTGGCGGTGTCCCCTCATCGCCAAAGAGGCCCGGCAAAACTTCCCACAACGTAGAAGCCCAATTCACGTTAAACTCCACGAACACGAGCATGGACTCGAAAAACTTACGATTCTCCTCCAGAGAGGTGACCGTAGAGTAAACGCATAACAAAAATAGCTCACTTGAAAAAGTCATTCTGTCGAAACAGCTATAGTAAAATATTTTGCAGAAATTTCAAATGAAATTCATTAAAAGAAGTTTCAATTTTGCGAAAGTGTAGGAAATAAAAGCTTTTACGGTTTTATAGTTGGATAAAATAAATCAAGTAATGATTGAATTCATCACTTAAATATTAAATAATTAACTAATAAACTACCTATTAAAAAAACACATTGTAAACAAAAATAATAGGTTATAGTAATAATACAAAAATGGGGAAATCCATAACACGTATTTATTTTAAACAAATTTTTTACAAAGGATTTTGAAACAAATAGTGTTAACTTATGTATTAGTTTGTCACATCTAAAGTATAATACATTCATTTAGGTATTAAATATAACAAATTTCTTTTTAAGGCACTTCTAAGGATTCCATTTATGTTTTACACATTTAACCATTAACATTGTCGTCTAAATTTACATCAACTACGTACATCCGTTAAGTTATTCGTTGATTTCTTACACATATAATAAAACAATGTAAAAAAGTTTTTTATTAATAAAATAGTTATATCGACTAAATTTTATATGAAAATATGAGACATTTTGAAACGATGGAAACATTATATAATATGACCATTCTGCTCACCTAAGTGAACGTATTCAGTTTTACTTCACTACTATCACGACTGCCAAACAATAAAGGAGTAACTGATGTAGCTTATTTTCTTGTAGACTACATTGAAGAAAATATTTCATCTTCAACTAAAATTCATTTATTTCCGAAAATTGTCCGGTTCAGAATAAAAATCATACTTTGATTTGGGTCCTCATACTTACTTAGCAAGAGTAAGTAATCATACTTAACTCTTGCTATCAAAGGCCGGTTTAAAAAAAAAATTAGACATTTCTTTCCTCTTAGAGGGCATTCATTCTTGTCTTGTGATGAGAAATTTAGCATCATAAAATGCCCCATTAGATAAATCCTAAAATACTGTCAATCTCATAGATACAGGAAGTATACTTAATAACTGATGGCCTCACCTATTCAAGAAGAGAGTCTGTTCAACTGAGAGTGTGCAGCTCTCTCATGGAGATGGCGAGAATATTTCAATATTAATTTCAATAATAATACTGCTTAATACTATAGTAATTTCAATGTTAGTAAAGTTGACCCACAAACCATTCAGCTTCCTAAAGCACTAGCTTATACTTCTTGGATGTTACCTCTAAAGAAAGAAAATAGTACTTATTTAAGAACTTAATAGTACTTACTTAAAGAAAAAAGATAGTACTTTGTAGATATTATAAAGATTTCAGAGCAGAATCATTAGAATATAAGTGTTGATAGTAACTTGTAGTGATGTTTAGTGTTTTAGCAATATATGCTGTAATGTGATATAACGAACAATGATTGAAGCATGAAAAAAATAGAGTAATTTATTTAATGGATGTTATTTTATTGCAGAAAAGTATTTAGTAGATGAAAAAACACACATTAATAAATTTTTTATAAATGGACAATATTATTAAATTGGAAATTAATAGTGCTAATCTCCTTGTACAGATATAGTTGGCATAAAAAAATTATCACGGCAAAAAACTAAGGGCAGACAGTTTTTTACATATTTCTCGAAAGTTGGTTAAAATGACTCGAGTCGCTTTCTGAGATAAGCGATTCATATGTACCCGAGAAAAACCAAATAGATATAGATCATGTTAAAGATTACCAAACGATTACAGGGCGTGATAGCTAGATCTATCGACTCATTTCTTAGTTAAAAAAAAATAAAGTCTTCTTAGTGGCAATTTAATAACTCATAATTTTTTAAAAAATAAATAGATAATAAATAAGACTAATCTAATATTTGCAGCCATCTATAAGGCACCACATAAAATGAAAAGCATACGAAAACATAAACCCAACAGAAAATAATCCAGCGTTTTTAATATAGCTATTTGGAATCCCACGCCTTTTCTTTAAAACGCAGTTCAGGATACTTAGTTTGACATCATTGTAAGGAGGATACCTCAGAGAAAGTGAAAGTTCCGTTAACCCACTGAAATCCTTTACTAACACAGACTTTTGATGGGAAAATGTATCGAATCCCTGTTTACCATGGTATGAACCCATTCCGCTAAAACCTACACCCCCAAATGGCAAATTCTCCGTTGTTAAGTGCATTACTGTGTCATTAACAGTAACACCCCCAGCGGATGTTCGAGTTAAAAAGGCATCTCGTACCCTTTTATCTTTCGCCAAAACATACAGAGCAAGAGGTTTTTCCCTTTCGTTTATAAATTGTATGGCTTCCTCGGCATTTTTCACGTTTATAATAGGTAAAATGGGCCCAAAAATTTCTTCTTTCATCACTCGATCGTCTAAACTAACATTTATTAGAATTGTAGGTGATATAATCCTTTCGTCAGTGTTAAATTTTCCTCCGATTGCAACGTTTTCGGGTTGGATAAACTCCAGTAATCTTTTAAAATGTCTCTCGGTAATTATTTTGCTTAAATATGTCGAACTTTTTGGATCAGATCCATAAAACTCGGTAAGAACTTTTTTGGCTTCTTGCAAAAATTGGGTTTCTGTTGTCTTAGTGCATAATAGATAGTCTGGAGCAACGCAGGTTTGACCGCTATTTATAAATTTACCCCAAAGGATTCTTCTGGTTGCTTTTTGAATGTCAGCAGATTCATCCAAATACACTGGACTTTTACCACCTAAAAAAGATAAAAAAGTTAAGTAAAGTAAAGATAAAAAATCAAAATAGTGCACTAAAGCAAAACCACATTTTTTCAAATAAATGTGGATGTTATGTTATAAAGCATTTCTTATCTTTGACGAGTATAGAAAAAGCTGTTTATTTTTGAAAATTTAAAAACAGCTTAGATATATACATTCATTGGTTTTTACATTGGTTGCACGGCTATGGCTTGTAGTTTCAGGCTGTATATAGGTATACAGATTGAACGAAATAAATTCGGAACATAGGAAACATCATATATTTCGGCTCATTTCTGCTGTAGGAGGTTGGCCAACAAAAGGTTGTCAAATAATTATATTATAAAAACCCAATACTTCTGCGGGCTGCTGGATTCTGAACTCATAAAAATTGAAAGCTACACATAAATCTACGATTATTATGCTGTCAAACCACTTATACTCCAGGAAATGAAGCATTTTACCTCGTAATTTTTTCGTCCTGCGTGGATTAACTTGAAATTTTAACAGAAGGTAGGTAATAGCCTAAGGATCAAAATCTATATCTAACCAAAGTGCGCCAAAGCCTTGGGGGTGGTTGCCACCCCATACCGGGGGTGAATTTTTTTTTTACGTTTTAACTACAGGTTTCGATTAAAAAAGTGATTATAAACAAAAAATGTTTTATACATTTTTTTTGTAAAACTGATATTTTTCAAGTTATTCGCGATTGAAAGTAACAACTTTTAGATGAAAAAATCGACGTTTTTATCGATTTTCCGCGAATAAGTCGAAAATGGTGCATTTTATCAAAAAATTGTAGAGAACAAATTTGTAGCTTTTAAAAAGACAAATACAATTCATTTTTTAAAATGTTTTTGCGATATAATAGGAACCGAAACACGGCTTATCAATGTTCAGCGGTTTTCTTCAAATGCCAAATTTGAAAGATTCAAAGTCAAATATCGGGAAAATGATGCATTTTTGGAAGAAAACTCACGCAACCTTTTTTAAAGAGCATAAATAGATCTATCATAAAAGAAGACTCTAGCTCAAAAATTGAGTGAGTTATGATGAAAATAAGGCCAATACCTCATTTTTTTACGAAAAAATCGATGAAAAAAACCCCCTAACCACTCCCATAATTAAAATCGATCTTCACCGTTCTGCAGTTCTCTTTGTACATGTATTGTTAATACGTTTAAAAAGTTTGACCCATTTAAAATGCTTAGTTTTAGAAAAAGTACAGCTTAAAGCGAGAAACGATTTACAATTTCATATTTTTTACCCTTCTTTTTTTAAATATCCCCGAAAATACTGAATATATGAAAGAAATAAAAATGTACTAAATTGTAGCTTTTTTAATGACAAAAATTTTCCTTTATTTAGATTTGTTGTACAATGAATATTTGGCGAGATATAGCCGTTTAAAGCATCGATTTACGATCAAGCACCATCTTTTTCGAGCCCTTTAAACTCACCCCACTTAAAAACCAAGGGTTCCAAAGAGATTTAATTCACAGATCCTTGTAGCTCTTAAAAACCTCTACATAATGTTTTTAAGGAAACAGTCTATCGTTAAAAATGAAGGAAATACGTTAAAAAACCAATTATTTTTTTTTCGGAAAACTCCGTTAGTATAGTACAGTACATTTTGGAGCATAATAATCTACAAAACCGGTATATTAGGTCGTGGGACGTTATACATTCGAAATTTTAAGCGTTCTTATTTTAAAATCCCATACAACAGAATAAAACATTTGCTCATATGTTTATGGCTTGGCAATAAAAATATCAAAGCAACAGACTGGGGATGGTATTCCAAAGATGGTTTGTTATTACACGTACGCATGAACAAACAACCTGCACCCGATGAACTTTTGAAAATTATTTTTTGCCAATGCAAAAAAGGATGCAGCGTTTCATGTGGGTGCAGAAAAGTTGGTTTATACTGTAACTTTACTTGTTCTGGGTGCTCAGGTGAAGGGTGCAATAACAGTCCACCAATAATTGAAGAAGATGAGGATGACATAGATCACGACGAAGATGTAATTGATGACGAATAAAATTAATATTATAATTATTTTACCTATAAATGTAAATATTTTTAACTATTTATGTAAATGTATAAGAAGATATGGTGCCTTTTTATGTTGATAAATTTTTTTGTATTTAATTCTACTTTTTACAATTTATATCTATTAAATTAGTTTATAAACTGCACCCTTTACAACTGCAATGTTGTAAAGGGTGATTTTCAAAAGTTGAAAAGTTGCAAAATTTTGGCAAAAAATTGTTTTTACCTATAGCACTCATAACAATTGATTTTTAAGGGTTGAAAATGTATGAAATTGTATTTTAAAGTATAAAAAAATCACTATTTAACTAATCCAAATCAAATTTCACTCATCTTAAGATTTGTAATGTTATTTTACAATTTTTGAAAATTAGGGGTAGTTTTCACCCCTAAGAACAATCAGGGTTCATCGGCATGACATAAACTATAAAGCAGAGGGTGAGTTAAGCTTAATTCCAAATTTTTATGCAAATCGATCCAAGGCGAAATCATTTTCTTCGCATTACTAATTTTTTTACATTAATCTCTAACAAAGGTCGCTTTTTAAGGGTTGAAATATGATGGAACTTTATTCAATAGTACGAAACTATCATTATTTAATTAATTCAAACCAAATTTTACCCATATTCAGGTTTAATATGTTATTTTATAATTTTTGACAATTAGGGCTAGTTTTCACCCCTAAGAACAATCAGGGTTCGTCGACATGACATAAACTATAAAGCAGCGGGTGAATTGAGCTTAAATCCAAATTTTTATCCAAATCGATCCAAGGCGAAATCATTTTTTTAGAATTAGTAATTTTTTTACACTAATCTCTAACAAGGGTTGCTTTTTAAGGGTTGAAATATGATGGAACTCTATTCAAAAGTATAAAATAATCATTATTTAACTAATTCAAACCAAATCTTACCCATATTCAGGTTTAATATGTTATTTTATAATTTTTGACAATTAGGGGTAGTTTTCACTCCTAAAACCATTCAGCGCACTTCGGTTCGATATAGATTTTGATCCTTGGGCTATCACCTACCTTCTGTTAAAATTTCAACTCAATTCATGCAGGACGAAAAAATTGCGAGGTTTTAACTTTTTTCGAGCTTCATTTCCTGAACTATTAAAAACTTCCTTAGACAAGCAACATTATTACACAAACAACATTGTTGCGAGACAGATAGTTGAACGATATTTTATACAATGTCTATACCCAGGTATGGATTTATTTTTGTCCAAGTTTTATATTGGTCTACTATTTCAAATGCAGTTCAAACAGACATATATTAAATTGTATGTTCCGTTTTAAATTCGTTCTATCTGTATATACCAACTCATATATATTTCTTAATTTAAAATAATTATTTATTATTTACCTAATTCCAAAGTGACTGGGGTTAAATGTTTCGCTGCTGCAAGATTCACAATTTTCCCCACCTGCGTAGAACCAGTAAAAAAAATATAATCAAATTTTTCTTCCAACAGTTCGGACGTTTCTTCAATGCCTCCTAAATAAACTTGAAAACATTGTCTGTCCAGGTATTTGGTTAATACTGTAGCAAGAAAATCGGCAGTATATGGAGCCAATTCAGAGGGTTTTAAAATTACAGTATTTCCTGCAGCTATAGCACCTAAAAATTAAAACAATTATTTATAAGTATTTAATTATTATAAAAGATATTATAATTTTAAAGTACCATTTATAGTTTCTCAACCACATTTAATTTGTCATTTGGGTACCCCAGGAAGGATTCACGCAGAACAAATGATGAGTTCCAAACGAAAATAAATAACCGGCAGAGAAGCTGCATAAAGAAGCAGGAAGAGCAGCAATAAAGAAATAATTTATTTTGATTTCCAGAAAAACCTACCAAAACTTATCTATATATAACGTCTATTACAGGTGCTAACTTTCTTTGAATAATATTAATGTCCACACTTGGCATGGCTAATCCAGAGCCAGTAGATTTTATACTTATCCTAAAACAGTAGAAAAAAAGATAGTGATGATGAATGCTCAATTTCAATTGCACCCAATAATTACACTGTTTTTAGATTTCTCCACAACGTAGTGTCGTTTGTGCACAAAAAGATTTAATGAAATAAAAATACGTTTATATCTATTCGCTCCGTGCGTGACTGACACGACACCTACCGCCTTTTTCTGACAATTTTGGAGTCCCAATTTTCAGGTTAAACATATGACATATGTTTGACATTGTTAAATACATGCGAAATTGACAATTATTAATAAATTGGTTTTTTAACTATATTTTGTCAGTTTATGTACAAAATAAATGTAGTATTAAAAACTGGGTTTCTCAAAATTCATCATAATATATCTTTTCAACTCCAAACGTAAGAGAAAGGGAAAAATCTAGTACTGACAAATCAAGTTTTTCACGCAAAAGAGCATATAATTAAAAACAATAATAGTAAAAGTTATGATATAAAAGCTAAAGTCATCTGCAGTTAGCTTGAAGCCTTATGAAATATCATTCAAGGTAAATTATTTAAATTTTTCCTATTTCAATTGCGTAAAAATGAAATTATGTGATATTTACTTTTTCATATTAATAGCAAGAATTTATCTTTTTCTTTTCTCTAATTTATATGTAATCTTTGGGAACCTATAAAAACTACACTCACTGTTTTTGCCATTATTAGCACAATTAAATACGCAACATGTATTTGCACACATTTTTGATAAAATTTATGCGTAAAAATATTTTGTCCAATATTCCAATTTTGTCATATTTCACCGCTATGCACGGTGTCGTCGTTTCAATGTACCCCTACCATGGTCACGCACGGAGCGAATAGAAAAGTGGGAAAATCACTATAAAAATTTACTCCAAGAGTACAGATTTGATAATATGGGAAAGGAATACAGTAGGGAGAGACAAACAAACAGTAACAGTAATACTACTAACAAAGAGGTCCGTACTGCGTTAATTAAAATGAAAAAAAGGCGATCTTCAGGACCTGGCAATATAGCTGTAGGGTTACTTAAAGCAGAAGGTCCACTCCTAATAGAACTAATAACTTTTCTAATGAATCAATGCTGCCAACAAATTAAAGTACCATCTGCATGGAAAACTGCTCACCAATTGTCTATCTTTAAAAATGGTAGTGTAAAAGCTCTTAACTGCTACAGATGATTAAGTGTCCTACCTACTTTCGGAAGATTGTTTGGAAAGATAATACATGGAAAAATACAGGATGATGTAGGACATCTAATTAGCGAAGACCAAAGTGGATTTACGCCTAGTAGATCTTGCAATGATAACTTGTTTATAGTCTAATAAGTAATAGAAACAAGAATAGCGGTTTATACCGAAGTACATCTAGCCGTCATCGATCTATAAACCGCGTATAATACAGTTGTGAGGCTTAAATTGTGACAAATTTCACAACAACTCGGCATTAGTCTATGCCTTTTAGGAATAATCACAGAAGTATACAGTGATAACACTACTTACCTAAAAATTGGAAATAGACTATCAGAGTAACAAAAAAAAGTAACTAAAGGACTAAGACAAGGATGTAGTACGTGACCATTACTGTTTATTTATATATTGAGAAAGTCCTCCAAAGTTGGAAAAAACAATGCCCGAGAATGGAAATCCCCAGAGGAAATGACATACTGGCTCCCTGAACTTTGCGGATGACCAAGTTGTTCTAGTTCAAGATTCTTATGATCTAGAAATTATGATAGCGTCTGTACAGATAATATATATGCAAAATGGGAGTTATAAGTCAGCATGAAGAAAACAGAATATTTAGTTAAAAATTCAATGTGAGGTTTGAACTGTTGAGAGACGAGAACGTGAAAAGCAAACAAGTGGAAAATTTTAAATATTTAGGTTCACTCATTGACAACAATGGCTTGGGAGAAACCCAAACTAAACACCGAATTCATCAGATACATAAAATTGAAGGACGTCTGAACTCCTTATGGTGGGATCGCAACATTTCCAAAAGGAACAAAAAAAGAATAAGGCAAATCATGGTTGAATCAGTTCTTTGTTATGGCTCTTACGTATGGACAATTAATGTAGACCTGAAGAGAAAATTGTTGGCAGTTGCAATGGATTATTTGAGAAGAAGTGCTAGAACACTAAGGCTGGAAAAGAAGACCAAAGAATCTATAAGAAATAACATGAATGCTACAGAAACGGTTATTGATAGAATAGAAAGAGGTGGTTTGAAATGGTTTTGGACACCTATTGAGAATGCCTGACGAACGTTGGCTCCAAAAACTTCACAGATGAAAGCCCCCTGAAAGAAGTAAAGAAGAGGTAGATTTCGACGCTTATGGAATGTAGGAATTAGAAGAGCGATGAAATCGGGAGATTTGGAGGAGCAACATGCCTTGCTAGATAATGTTACTCACGTTGTTACTTATTCTAATACATGCGGTGGACAAAATAAAAACGTCAATATGTGTTGCATGTTTTCTATGTTTGTCAGCAACATCAATTATGTCAACTGCATAGATCAGAAGTTCTTGTTACCTGGACATACGCATCTGTAATGCGACGTGGATTATGCTCGTATGGAAAGAGCTAAAAAAACACGCAGATCCCGATTATGGTGCCTAGGGACTGGTATCCGTTTGTCCGTACAATGAGAGGTAAAAAACCATTCCAGGTTCATGAAATGACCCAAAACGACTTTATATATTTTTTTATTATGGTTCAGAAGCATTTAATTCACAGAAATATTGATACAGATGGAAATAAAGTAAACTGGCCCGAAATTAAATAGTTAAGGTACGAGAAAACTTTCGACGTTGTTCAATTTGAAACCTCACTACTTGATGATGGCAATTTTCGAACACTCGACTTACCGCGATCAAGACGTGGCAGGCGACCAACCCCTTTTTTGACAAAATGTTACGAAGGACCACTACCCATTACCCCCCCAAAAAAGAAGGACCTACTAAGTCTTCTGCCGATAATTCAACCTGACTGTCATAATTTTTTTTGAGTCTCAACGACAGCATCAACGTGCCAGTGCTTCTTGATAATGAGGAAGAAGACTAATGTGTTTTTTTATTATTTTTTTTTTATGAATAAAATATTGAAAAATGTATTGTAAAATGAGGAAGACGACTAATTTGTTCTTTTTTATTATTTTTTTTTATAAATAAAATATTGAAAAATTTATTGTAACATGTTTGATTTTTAATTTCACACAATCAATCAATATTGCAACTTTCAATGCAAGAACCCTGATATCAGAAGAAAAATTCATAGAAATAGAATCTGAACTTGATAAAATTAATTGGGACATTGTTGGAGTCGCTGAGGTCAGAAGGAGAGGAGAAAGCCTAACCATTTTAAAATCCGGTCACATTTTCTATTATGTCGGAGAAAAGGATGAGAATGGAGGCATTGGGTTCTTTATTAATAAAAAACTAGCTGAGAATATCATATCAGTAAAAGCAGTTTCCACAAGAGTTATACTTGCAAAATTATAACTTAACACCCGTTACTCCATAAAGATGATTCAAGTATATGCACCAACATCGACTCACGCTGACGAAGAAATAGAACAGTTCTATGATGACTTGTACACATCTGTTTCAGAAGACCAAGAATATTTTACGATAATATGTGGCGACTTTAATGCCAAAATAGGAATAAGCACTGACCCAGCCGAAAATGCCCTCGGAAATTTTGGCACACCAGATAGAAACGAAATTGGCGAAATACTCTTAAATTTCCTATTAGAAAACAGTCTATATGTAATGAATAGCTTCTTCTATAAGAAGATCCATAGAAGATGGACTTGGAAGAGCCCCGATGGTAAGAAAAACAATTAGATTGACTTCATCATCACTGACAAAAAGCATATAGTCAAAGATGTTACAGTCTTAAATCAATTTTCGGTTGGAAGCGATCATAGAATAGTCCGAGCAACTGTAAAAATCAATATTAAGCAAGAAAAACTGAAGATGATAAAAAATAAAAAATTCAAACTTTGGATGCCCCCAACGAATGAACTTGACTTGGAAAAATATATCACCAGTAACTTAATCAGAAATACAACAAGAGAAGACGTAAATAACCTAAACGAAGAAATAGTAGATACATTAACACAAGATCAGGGAAAATTTGGCCCTAAACATGGAAAAGAACAAAAAATTAGTAAAGAAACGAAACAAAAAGTGGAAGATCGTACAATGCTGAGAAATCAAGGAAATGTTGACTCACAAGATATTAACAGCATCAATAAAAAAATCTCTAAAGCCATCAGACGGAATATCAGAAAAAACAACGAAAAAATTATAAAAACTATAGAAGACAACAAAAGCATAAAAGCATTGGGGAGAAAAATGGAAAATGGCAAAAAAGGTGAGCTACACAATACAGGTGAGCTGTGTCACGCCGCCAAGAACAGAATTCTAGTAATGAGATAGTCGCCTACGCACTTTGGTGTATGGCATGTTAAGAAGAAGAAGGCAAAAAAGAAATCTTCCAACTTAAAGACAAAAATGGAAATATTATCGCAGATAGACCAAGCATATTACATATAGTGGGAAGTTTCTATGAAACATTATATAAAAGTCAAGTTATTCCAGAGCTCATCGAATAACCAATACAAAAGGTACATAATGTAGGAT